GGGAAGGTACAAGATTCAGTTCTGTTGTTCACAGGGCCACTATGAGTTATAGTCAACTTTAGACACTAACAACCACCTGATGTGAAAACTGCTTATCTCTAACATTACTTTTCATTCATACCGCTATATCAAACTACTTATCATTTTCTATACATGTTGTTGTTAGGGAGTCATCACGTTGAGTATTACTCACGACAACCTCATAAAGAACAGATCTGAACCCTGTCTTATCCTGTGCCATCCTCATCATCTCTTGACTTACTTAAGCCCATTCCTGCAGTAACTGTCAATCCATCTCATCAAGATAATTTTTTTTGTGTGTGGCTTCAAGTTTACTTCCACTTGGGGTGAATAAAATAGGTATGGATATTCTAAAAGCTCGTGTGTGATTAGACAGTAAAGAATGGGGTTCTCTTAACTTTTTGGTCTTTTGCTTTTTTGAAATAGAAAGAATCACCCACTTCTGCACCTGGTGCACCTGCCTAGTCGATGGGGTGGGGCAGGGAGGTGCTGACAGAAGCCCCTCAGGAGGGCGTCGGTGGTAGTGGTGATGGTGCCCTTTCAAGAGGAGCACGGGGCCAGTGCCGCCTGGGTGCTGCCAGCTGAAAAATTTTTTTTTTAATTAAAAAAAAGAAAAGGAATTTATTAGCAACAGAAGATGGTCTATTTGCTCAGTGAGTGCCCTCACTCCAATTTTCTGCCCTGGTTGGCCTTTCTTCCCTCATTCAGATGGACAGACACAGGAATAAAGGTAGAGCAGGGACAGGCCAGCACAAACAATGAAAAGATGGCAGCTCTGGGTCCAGGTTCTTCATTCTTCCACCCACTTGTGGACTATGCAAATCTCCTGGGCAGTCATATATCTAGGTCATCATCAGAGTTTCCTAGGTCATCGTAAGCATCTGGCTCATAGAAGATTTGACTGGTGGCTTGGCCTGGTCCAGGGTGCAAGAGAATCTATTGTTTTTCAGAGCTGAAATGGAAGGGCAGGGTGAGCTTGTCTTTGGCTTCTTTTTCTTTCTTGGACAGGTGAAGGTTGAAGGTTAAATGAGCTATAGGATCCACCGTGGTAGTGGGAAGGTCTGGCTGGGGTGGAGTTTCTAAGGGGGGAAACCCTTTGGAGATTCAAGTCAGGCAGGTTGGAGAACCACTGAGTCTGATGGGTTGGGTGTTGATGGAGCCTCTGGAAAATGATGTGGGCTGAGGTCTGGCCACCCAGGGTCACCTCCGTCTAAACAAGGCTGCTTAGTGTACCCAAGGGGCCTGGACCATGACACTCTTCATACAGCAGGTCCAGCATGGCAGGAGTCCTGACGATGCAGAGTCTGGCAGAGTGTGGTGCAGGGAAAGTGAAGCCTATTCAGTCAATTGAGAACAACGGTACTAACAGGACCAGGATGTTTCTTCCTGCATAGGTCACTCGATGTACCCAGGGCTCCCCCAGGAGGAGTCTCCCCAGTCTTTGACCAATTGAAGGGGTCTCAGAAAAGATCATGGTAAACCACTCAGAAGGCAGATTTTCTGATAAGTGCCTTCAAGAGACTGTGCCCTTCCCACTCCAAGTTTAGAGAGCCAGAGTTAGATAAACAGTGTGAGAGCACTGAAGACCTGTCTGCTTTCACAAACCAATGGTACTCTCTCTCGTCAAGAATATTTTTCTGTTTCACTGACCCTCCACCTTTCCAAACATGATGTCCCTCTGCAATTAATAGCCTCTTCTAGCAACATGACCAAAGTATGTAAAATGAAGCTTTGTCATCCTTGCCCCCAAGGAGCATTCTGGTTGTACTTTCTCCAAGACTTACTCGTTTGTTCTTTCAGCAGTCAATGGATAGTCACGACTCTTCTCCAACAGCATAGCTCAAAGGCATCAATTCATCTGCAATCCATATTCTCTGTTCAGCTTTTAAATGTTTAGCAAGTGATTGAAAAGCCTGAATAACGTGCTCTTTAGTCTTTAGACTGACATTATTGCTCCTCAGTAATTTGGAGAGTGGTACTAGGGATATTGTAGCTGGTGTTAGATGGATCTTAGCTGAAAGCAGGGAATACAAGAAGAATGTCTATCTGTGTTTCATTGATTATACAAAGGTGTTTGTGTGTATCATAACAAACTGTGGCTGACTCTGAGAAGAATGGGAATCCCAGAACACTTGATCGTGCTAATGCAAAACCTATACTTGGACTAAGAGGCAGTCGTCAGAAAAGAGCAGGGAAACACTGCATGGTTCAAAATTGGGAAGGGCGTACGCCAGGGATGTGTCCTATCTCCATACCTTTTCAACCTGTATGCAGAACAGATGATCCGAGAGGCTGGGCTCTATGAGAAGTGTGGCGTCAGGATTGTTGGAAGATCTATTAACAGTCTGCATTATGCAGATGACACAAGCCTGCTTGCTGAAACTGAGGAGGACCTGAAATGCTTGCTGCAGAGGGTCAAGGACTGCAGCCTACAATATGGATTGAGGCTCAATGTCAAGAAGACAAAGATTCTCACCACTGGATCAACTGGCAGCATCAGGATGGATGGTGAAGAGATTGAAATTGTTAACAACTTTAATCTGCTTGGCTCCACAGTCAACACTCTTGGCACCAGCAGCCAGGAAATAAAAAAATGTATTGCGATGGGAAAGTCTGCTGTTAGGGACCTCTCCAGGGTACTTAAGAGCAATGGTGTAACTCTGGAGACTAAGGTGCATCGGATACAGGCTATGGTCTTTGCAATTACTTGTTATGCATCAGAGAGTTGAACAATGACTAGGGAGGATAGAAGGAGAATTGATGCCTTGGAGCTGTGGTGCTGGAGAAAAGTATTGAATGTACCGTGGACTGCCAAGGAAACAAACAGATTTACCCTGGAGAGGGTTAAACCAGGTTGCTCCTTGGAGGCAAGGATTCTGGGGCTTCATCTGACATACTTTGGACATGTTGTAAGGAGGGAGAGGTCCTTGGAGAGGGACATCATGCTTGGGAGGGTGGAGCGAAGGCACAGAAGGGGAAGACCCTCTATGAGGTTGATTGATTCAGTGATGGGGGTAAACGGGATGGGTATGTTGGAGGCAGTGCGATTGGCACAGGATAGAGCAGGGTTTAGGGCTATTGTACATAGGGTTGCTATGAGTCACAAGCGACTCGATGGCACATAACAACAACGACAACACTTTGGAGAGGTCTCTGACTGCAAACTTTTCGTGTAATACATCTCCTGATTTCCTGACTGCTGGTACCACGGGTGTTGATTCTGGATCCAGTAAGAAGAAATTGTTGACAACTTCAGTCTTTTCTCCATCTATTATGACGTGGTTTATCAATCCAGTGAGAATTTTTTGTCTTCCAGATGTTGAGATGAAATGCATATTGAAGGCTGTAGCCATCTTCTGTAGCAAATGCTTCAAGTCCTCCTCACTTTCAGCCAGTAAAGCTTAATGCATAATTAAGGCTGTTGATGAGATTTCCTCCAATCCTGATCTCACATTCCTTTTCTTATAGTCCAGCTTCTCGAATGATTTGATTAGCATACAGACTAAATAGGTACAGAGAAAGGCAAAACCACTTTTCTTGATTTTAAGCCATGCAGTATTCTCTTGCTCTGAGCATAATTAAGTGGTCTGGGATTCCCGTTCTTCCCAATGTTAGCTATAATTTATTTTTATTCACATAGTCGGATGTCCTCTGCAAATATTTACTTATTTGCAATCAATAGGCTCCCATTAACCAAGAATTTTGTATTCCTCCTTTAAAATTTAGCTGAAACAGTTCATCTGTGAATTCTTCTTGAACTCCTTTCATCTTCCCACATAACATAATCTGGAACATTACACTTTTTTTGACGCCTCTTAGTACACCATGGAGGGTTGCTATGAGGTAAAATTGACCTAATGGCAAAGAATTTTATAACTTAGTAACTTTTTAATGCACCAAAAATGAACTGGTTCAAAATCTTGTTGATATGATTTCTGATAGTATGTATCTAAATTTAAAGAATTTAGAACTAAACGAGATAAAGGAAATTTAAATATCTTAACTTGGATAAGCTAAACATTTAACCCATAAAAATAAAATATTTAAAAAGTCGATGTGGAGCCATCTTAAAATGAAAACAGACTCACTGGTGATTCTCACAGCCCGGTCAGTGCGGAAATCCTCTGTGTCTGGTTCATCAAGGTCTTCCAGGAAATTATATTCTGGATCATCATCATCATCCGCCTCATCTAGGGGAAAAATGTTTCAGGTATTTATTCCTAACTATTGAAAATAGAATATTCTCAGTACCACAAGAATCTGACCTAATAAAGCACAATTTATTCTTTACTTTTTATATAACTCATTGTTTTTTCTTGATGTCTTTGCAAGGATCATTTCCCCATAATTGAGTTATCTCATCTATTCTCTCCAACACGACAAATTTAGCAATATGCTGCAAAAACCACAAAATCAAAATAGATTTTGTCTCAATAATCTTACCCCAAGTAAAGTACTTCATAAAATACTTTAAATAAATCTATTTGTGTATTTTTAAAAAAACAACTATTTGAATAAAGATATTGTTTATAAAATCAAGAATGACTCAAACCCAACAACTAGAGAATAATGATGACATCAGGGTCCTTTAATATGATAAAATATACATATAAATGTAAAATGTTAGAATAAACTATTCCATAAATGTACAATAGACACATGAAAAAAATAACAATGTGCTCATTGGTGCCTACTCTGAATCAAGCTGGAACTGAGTCATTATTGTAGGCCTTCCACTGGGCCTCTGAGGCTGTCCATCACAAGAGCTTGCTAATTTTTCCCCTAGAAGCCACTGGTGGTTTCAATGATGGAAAATAAGATTGCCCATCTTCCTTCCAAGGAGCAACCACTGGTTTCAAACTGCCAGAGGGACTCAATCTTTGAGTTAGCAAAATATAATAAACATACAATAATCATAAGTACAAAATACATATTCCTTTGATAAAAGTCAGAAATTGTCAAATAATAACAAAAAGAATAAACTCTTGCTGCCTTTACTATTACTGCATACTCTCTTTCCATCCACCTAACATATCTATTTATTAATACTGAATTCTTCTTCTCTCCCTCCCTTCCTATCCCTGAAAACCAATGGAGAAAATGGATATAAATACATACTTTGAATACAAGGAAGATACTCATAAAACTTAAGTAAACAAAGATTGAAGAACAGAACCCTTACTTTTCACTCTTTACTTTCTAATCATTGAATTTTCATGATTAATAAGTATCTTTCGTTAAAAAACAAAATACACTAGATTTTTTTATTCACAATTACTGAATAATCTGTACTAAGAAGAAATCAGAGAAGACTTAAAAAGTACTTGTTAAAGAAGATCAAAGATTACAAGCTTCATTTTGGATTACATCTCAACACCAAGAAGGTAAACATCCTCACCACTGGACGAATAGGCATACTGAAATTGTTAATTTTGTTCCTACTGTTATGTGCCTTTGAATCAACTTCAACTCACATTAGTCCTATAAACAACATAGATGAACCTTGCTGTTTCTTGGACCATCACTGGGATCTCTGAAAAGCTTCAGAGTCTGCTGTTACAGTCACTGTGTCAATCCACCATGTTGAGGATCTTCCTCTCCTTCTTGGACCAGTGTACACCTGGTTCCCATCATGATGTCTTTTTCCAAGGACTGGTCCCTCCTGACAGCATGCCCAACATATGTTAGACTAAGTTTCACCATCCTTGCCTATAAAGGAGCAACCTGGTTGCAATTCCTCCAAGAAAGACTTGTTCTTTTAAGATTTATGGGCCATTTGGTACTCTTATCCAACACTATCATTTAGATGCATGTATTCTTCTATTATCCTGAGTCACTGCCTAATATTTAAATGCATAGGAAGTAACTGAAAATACATGGCATGGATCACGCATATCTTATGTTTTAAACAGACACTGTTTATTTTCAGCATGTCAGAGGGGTCCTACCTACACGGCAGATTTTCTCAATATAACACATCTTTTAATATTTTTACTGCTACTGATCGTTCTAATGCGAAACGTATACTTGGACCAGGAGGCAGTCGTCAGAACAGAGCAAGGGAACACTGCATGGTTCAAAATTGGGAAGGGCGTACGCCAGGGATGCATCCTATCTCCATACCTTTTCAACCTATATGCAGAACAGATTATCCGGGAGGCTGGGCTCTATGAAAAGAAATGTGGGGTCAAGATTGGTGGACGATTTATCAACAACCTGCGTTATGCGGATGACACAACCCTGCTTGCTGAAACCGAAGAGGACCTGATGCACCTGCTGCACAGGGTCAAGGACTGCAGCCTGCAATATGGATTGAGGCTCAATGTCAAGAAGACAAAGATTCTCACCACTGGACCAATCAGCAGCATCAGGATGGATGGTGAAGAGATTGAGATTGTACACAGCTTTAGTTTGCTTGGCTCCATAGTCAACAGTCTTGGCACCAGCAGCCAGGAAATTAAAAGGCGCATTGCCATGGGAAAGTCTGCTGTTAGGGACCTCTCCAAAGTGCTGAAGAGCAGTGGTGTCTTTCTGGAGACTAAGATGCGTCTGATACAGGCCATAGTCTTCGCAATCACCTGTTATGCATCAGAGAGTTGGACAATGACCAAGGAGGATAGAAGGAGAACTGATGCCTTTGAGCTGTGGTGCTGGAGAAGAGTACTGAGAATACCATGGACTGCTAGGAAAACAAATAGATTTGTCCTGGGGAGGGTTAAACCGGGTGGCTCCTTGGAGGCAAGGATTCTGAGGCTCCGTCTAACATACTTTGGACATGTAGTGAGGAGAGACCGGTCCTTGGAGAGGGACATCATGCTTGGGAGGGTGGAGGGACGGCGCAGGAGAGGAAGGCCCTCTATGAGGTGGATTGATTCAGTGACTGGGATAATTGGGATGGGAGTGTCAGAGACAGTGCGACTGGCACAGGACAGAGCGGAGTTTAGGGCTGCTGTACATAGGGTCGCTATGAGTCGCAGGCGACTCGACTGCACGTAACAACAACAACTACTATGGGTATTGATTACAGATACAAGTAAAATGAAATCACTAACAACCTCAGTCTTGGTCTAGAGATGAAGATGTTTGTTTCCTTATGTTGAGATGCAATCTATTTGGAAAGCTGTAGTCTTTGATTTTCTGCATAAGCGCTTCAAGTCTTCTTCACTTTCTAGTGAAGGTTGTGTCACTTGTAAAACATGGGTTGTTGATAAGTCTTCCTCCACCCGTGCTGTTACACTCTTCTTCATACAATCCAGTTTATTCAATGATATACTCACCATAACTATAACATAACATAACAGACTTAACATGTATGGAGAAAGGATACAACACTTACACACACCTTTCTTGATTTTAAATCATGCAGTGTTCCCTTGTCCTGTTTGGATAATTGCTTCTTAGTCTATGGATTGATTTCATACAAGCACAATTAAGTGTTCAGGGCTTCTCAATTCTTAATGCTATCCATAATTTGTTATGATCCACACAGCTACATGCCTTTGCATAAATGGTAAAAAGATTGAAGTGCATTATTTTCATTTTCTGACACCAGCTCTTTCTGTATTTCATTATAATACTTTGTTCTGTCTTTTCACGTTGCCCTCTGAAACTCTTTTACTTGGCCGTTTCCCATGTTATCCATTACCATAAATGGAGAAAAGCTTGAAGTTGCCAACAATTTTCTTTTACTTGGATCCAAAATCAGCATCCATGGTAACAAGAGTCAAGAAATCAAAAGATGCGCTGCAGTGGGAAAATCTGCAGTCAAGGACCTCTTTAGAGTATTCTCCTGCAAATTTTTCTGTCCTTCCCTAATTCTGATTTTGTGTTCAGTAAGTTGGGGTCATGATTCTCTTACTTATACCCTAAAGAACTTTAACTGATACAATGAATTTTGGGTGAGCCAAAACATAAAAAAAGAAAATTTAACTGATGAGAGGTAAATTATCAGTTGAACATAAAATTCATTTCATTAGCCAAAATATGTCTGATTCTTCAGCTTACAAATAATGAAAATTTTACTACCACAAAAATGGGCAATGTAAATAACAAATGTAAACAATACTACTTACCTTCATTTCCTACGTCATCATTCATGAGTCCCCCTAGCCACATCTTCCAGTTCTCATCGTCTGCTGTATTGGGGTCATACATATCTGGGGTGATATCTGGAGCCCGGAGCTTAGCCTCTAGTTGCCCCAGGGGAACATCTTTAAGAGGCATCTTAGAACGGGTTCGGAATGCAATAAGGCTGTCATCCATAGTCTAGCAAATGAAAAGGGGGTGGGGGAAAGTAACTTAAATGGCTAATGCTTCCAAATTCTCTAAATCTCCTCATCTTTGGCTTCTACTCTTACTTTAAACCACTACATTTTTGACCTAAAAATTTTAGCTTTTTATTATTTGATTGAGAAACTGTAAGAATTACAATTTTTAAATCAATACTTCAAGAACATTTACAACTGCTCTATTGAAACATACTCCACACACCATAAACCATAAAAATTCACCCTTTTAAAGCATGTAACTGAATAAATTTTAGCATATTCAGAGAGTTGGACAAGCATCACTACTGTCTAATTCTATAACATTTCTATCACTCCTAAAAGAAATCCAATATACATTAACAGACACTATCCATTACCCTCTTAGTTCTAGACTCTGCCAATTACTAATCTACATCCTGTCTCTACGGATTTGTCTATTATAAATATTTCACATAAAGAGAATCCTCATGGATTGAACTGTGTGTCCACCAACAAATAAATGGATATAAGAACTATGGTACAGTCACACACTGGAATATTATGCAACACTAAAAAACAACGAATTCACAAAATATTATAAAACAGGGGGGAGCCTGGAGGACATGATGCTGAGTGAAACATCTCCATCACAAAAGGACAACTACCGCATAACATCGCTGTTAAAAATTAGGACAGACGTGGGGGGGCTGGGGAAAGAAAGGATAAATGGAGAGTGGAGAGTAGATAAAGAACAAATACTGAAATAGAACAGTTGAGGGGAAGAACTGTCTAAAAGGAATATATGATTAGACATTAAATGTATGACAACAATCTGGAACAAGGGGTGCACTGTAAGGTGGGCTGGGGAAAGAGGTAGAAGGGGAAAGAAAATTGCAACAATGAAGAAGAAAAAAATTATTTTTTAAATATTTTATATTGGTGCTCATAAGAGTAATTCAAACTAAATGTACCTGAATAGTAATTTGGAATTTAGATTAGGTAAGAATGAAATTTGAAGTAAATGAATCTTTTAACAAGATGTAAACTCCATTTTATCTCTAACATACATGTTTTCACATACAGTAAATTTTTAAGTTATTAATTTCTGAATTAGGGACAGCTAGTATCTGCCCTGTAATGTGGTCTAGATTTGTCGTCACTTTGAAGCAGCTGAACTAACCTGACTTTAAATAAATTCTTCACCACAATTAAAAAAAAATTAAATTTATTGATCTACAAGGTTCAACAAAAAAGAAAAAAAAGAGACAGTGCCAAAGAGCACTACTTCACCTCAGTAAGACAGTGCCAGCAGCACCTCCATGTATACGTATTTATTTCTAAGAGGACTTTTATAGTTAAAGCAAGAGTTGACTCAAGACCACAGAATATATATATGAAGACTCTTCAACAGCTTTTAAAAGCTACCTTATCACGTGCCTCATTATACTACCTCATATTTTACTCCCGGGGGGTGTTTGTCCCTCCTTTAAAACTCCAGCTTGAGGGCCCTAAGTTTTTTCAGCATAAAATTATATCATAGTTACTACTTCTCTAAATGCTGTTGTTGATACATGCCATTGAGATGCCTGCGACTCACAGTGACTCTATGCACAACAGCTCTGAGACCTGCTCTGCTCTGAGCCAGACTCACTGACTCCAACACACCAATCCTCTCTGGCCAGTTACTATATCAATCCATATCATCTGGGGTCTTTCTCTCCTGTGCTGTCCCTCTACCTTTCCAAGAATGTTATCTTTCTCCAAGGACTTATCCTTCCTGGCCATGTGCCCAAAGTATGTGAGATGGAGCTCAAAATTCTAGCCTCCAAGGAGAAACTTGATTTCACACTCTCTAAGACATACCTGTTTGTTCAAATCCATGGTTTGTTCAATACTCTTCTGTGTTCTAGTCTATGCCATCTTTCTGACACACTAGAGCCCACTGCAGCAGTCACTGCTGCTGTCAACTAATTTGGGTGAAGTATCCACTCTTTTGTCAATCCTCCACCTTTCTGAGCATGATGTTCTTTTCCCAGGAATAGCTTTTCCTAGCAACATTCCTGAAGTATGTGAGACAAAGCTTTATCATCTTTGCCTCCAAGAAGCACTATGGCTGTACTTTCTCCAAGACGTATTTGTTTGTTCTTTTGGCAGTCCATAGGATATTCAGTACTTTTCTCCAACACCACAGCTCAAAGGAATCAATTCTTCTTCTGTTATATTCTTATTCACTGTCTAGTTCTTAGATATATAGCAAATGATCAGAAAGACCATGGTCTGAATCAGATGCACCTTAATCTTCAAACTAACTACTGATGCAACAATCTGGAGAGGTCCCTGGGACCAGAAAGAGTAAGTGACTAGAAAGTAAGAATAAATATATAAAAAGTTAAGATATTTTACCTTAAGTAATGATGGATTGCTCTGTATAGTCTTTAAAATGAAAATTCCAATCAAATAACATTTACTCATAAAAGTTTTATTTTAGTTCCAAATAATCTTTTAAAAAACAAACCATGTCCCTACTCTTACTGCAAAGGTTTTTTTTGTTGTTGTTGTCTTTTTTGTGGGTTTTTTTTTGTTGCATTATTTTTACGTGTACCGTCAAATCAGATCTGACTGGTACAGGAGATTGCCCCCTCCTTCTCCAGCAGAGCATCTGGTGGATTTGAACCGCGTACCTCTGGGATTGCAGTGCAGCGTCTTACCACTAGGACACCAGAGCTCCCTTAGGCCACCAGAGCTCCCTTAACTGCAAAGGTTTTGTCTAACATCCTTTCTAAGCTTATATCTTTCAGACTACACTACACTACACTACACTACAAAGAATCTCAACATGGAACCTTGCATAAGATAAGCTCCCACTTCTTTTATGAACCCTTAAATCAGCCTCCACTCAACAGTATCTAACTGCTATTCACAAGCTATGACCTCTTCCAGAAGGAAGCAGAGTGGTCGTCATCTCTACTCTCCTAACAACGTTAAAGCTCCCATCCCAGGAGAGGGTACAAGTTCCAGAGCAAGAAGCAGACTTTCACCACACTGCCTCACCAGCAAAATCCAAATTATTCACCTTATTCCCCTTAATATGTTTTATTAAATATATGCACTACCTGTACTAAAATCTACCATATAAAGCAAGTAATACAGTTTACACTCTAAAAAAAAACTCTGTAAAAGAAAACAAAAAGGGGGCAATGTAGAGAATAAACTTAACAAGGCAGAAGCTGTCTAGGTTAATGCAAAGAAACTCTGCTCAGGGATGAACAAGACCTTGATTCTCTAACACTGCCATCTGATAAAAACGTGGTTATACAAACAGGGAAGGTCAGCAAAGAAAAAAAACCATCTTAGAGCCCAGTTAACTTATTTTACTGCTTATGTAATGAGAAACTTATCAACAAAGCTATGAAGACTACAGACTGTGAGTTCCTCTCCCCTTGCCTCTTGACTAAGGAAAGTTCATTCCGATTGCCAGGTCAGATTTCCTACTGGTCAGAGAAGTATGATAGCTGAGTAACATTGTCAATCACAAAAGGATAACTGTGGAACTTAGACTACAGATATAAAAAGCTAAAGAAAGGTTTATACAAAGAATCAATTGTAATGGTTTTACCGAGATGGAGAGAGAGGAGGGGGGAATAAATGTGGGGAAACAAGAGAAATACAGAAAGAATGATAAAGCCATTTTGCTAGCTACTTCCATTCTTCATTCTGAAACACACTCTCTGCCACATACTTTATTCCTTCCATGACGGTTAAAATTGTATATCAGCATGGCTATGATCTTTAGTGTGATTTAACTGTACTGTAAACAGGATGCTGCTTGTTGTCGTTTGTCTTCAAGTCAGAATCAACTCACAGCTAACTCTCCAGTGGGTTTTCAGAGGCAATAAATTGCACAAGAAGAGGCTGCCTATTTTTCTCCTAAGGAGCAGCTGGTGGATCAGAACCACATTGCTTCTGGCATTGCAACACAGCCTCTTTACCATGAGGCCATGAGAATTCCCTATAAATAGGATGATGTTATTGTTGTGTACCATCAAGTCAGAACTGATCCTTAGCTAACCCTCAAATGGGATTTCAGAGGCAGTTAACTGCACTCACTAGCAGAGACTGCCCATCACTTTCCTGTGGAAAAGCTGATGGATTTGAACCATGCACTTTTGCTTTGCCAGAGCAATTCCTTACCATTAAGCCATCAGAGCTCTCTATAAATAGGACAGTGTTATAAATTCTAACTTCTATGTTCTGGTACCTTAGTAGAAAGGAGCTGTGCTGCCAACCCAGAAACAGGCGATCTGAAAATAGCAGCTTCTCCAGTGGAGAAAGTTGGAGCAATCTCTTCCTGCACGATTTACTGTCTCTGAAAATCCACTGGAGGGTCAGCGATGTGTCGGTTCTGACACCATGGTACATAAAAACAACAGCATGATGTTTATGAGACAAATATAGAGGTATTTTTATAAAGGGATGATCAGCCTGATCTGATCAATATGTCACATGCACTGAGTTTTTCTTTTAATTAGCTTTGCTTGAGTCTAATCTTAAATGTCTTTCTAAATTTGACTATCTGGCTCATGGCCTCCAGGCCTGAAGGTTTCAAAAGTCATTTAGTGTTTATGACCTTGCTCTCCATCAACAATCTTTTCGACTCATCAGCCTTTGAAGTTAAGAGTCTTTGAAGCCAGTCACCTGCAATTTTGATCCCCAACTTGTCTGATAACAACTTGTCTAAAAAGGAGTAGAAAACAAGACACGGAGGCACAGGACCATGAGCAAAGAGCAGATAAAGAGTCCATAACCCAGCCCCATGGTGCCGGTAGAGCCCCACCAACAGCATTATTCACTGCTGACTCACAGTTACAGTACTAGCAACAGAGTTTATTAGAGAAGGAAGTTGGAGAGTGGGGTAGGCAGAGAATATAACATTATCACCCAAAATAAGTCCAGGTTTTAGCCCAACAGTTCCAAGGTGCACTAGTTAGTCCACGCTCTGGTTTCAATTCGGCAAGCAGCTTTTCCTTCCACCATCAAAGGCAAGAAGAGCAATATTCAACTATGTCCAGCATAAATGAGAGAAGCCTCAGGTCACACTTTGCCACAGTTTCTCCGCCGCAATGGCAGTTTCTTCACTACCAGGGTATAGCTGCCTCAAGCCTTGCTGTACAGTATGGGAAGCACTCTTTCATTTATCCTAGCCCCATAGCTGATGCTGATTTGCAAGTCCATATGTCTGCTGTTAATGTGGCTGAAGACAAGAGGGGCTAACTTATAGCTAAAAAAACCCCAATTTTTAGTCAACATCACACCACTGAATTCCCAAAACTAAGCTATTCTATGAGATGTTCTCAATGATTTAGAAGTATAATGTCTACCTGAAAAGAATCCACACAGACTGGACTGGAATCCAACTCTTCATCCACGGCATGCAACTTCTCCATGAAAGTGCTATCTTTGGTCTGCTTTGGTTTTGGAGGGGGAGGGGGTCCCATGGGCACTACCTCAGCACTGATGTGCCGGATCGTTGGTGTGGTGACTTTCTCAGCCTAATTAAAAGAGGAAGATGTGTTAAGAATGGGAGGACAGGTGGGAAACAAAAGGGTCTTCCATACATGGGATCTTTAACTGCTCATCTTTCTTCTGCAAAGCAGCTAGTATTTTCAAACTACTGATCTTTGAGTTAGATTTAGCACACTGCACCAACAGAGCCCCTTTTCCTTTTAGAGGCACACAGAAGCAAAGACAATGTCAACTATAGATTTAACCCCATTAAGTTTCATACTATATTTCCAGTGAAGTCAAGAGGATGCTACTTATGTTATTAAAAGGGAAAATCCAATCAAAATGACTTCATGACAATATTAACAAAATATGGGTAAATGAAAGGGGTAGGAGAAAAAAAGAGAAGCTCTTTTAGTCTGGTGCCCTCAGTTTCTTAAAGAACTCATTAATTAGAAAATAGTATGATTATTGACCCTGAATCATACTTGGCAAATGCCAACAGCCCAGAGTTCCCTCCATACCTCACACAATAAATATTTCACTTACATAATACTCTCTAATTTATCTCTAGTGTATGATACTGAATACCTCTGATAATATGCCACCTTCCTCATCGGTTTCAATCATCTCGGAAGACTGTTTCAATCTAGGTTTCTTTGCCCCACGTGGAGATGAAGCAGTGCTTTCAACGTCACTTTCCAATAAACTCTAAAAAAAAAATAAATAAAATCTAGTTCACTTTAACATGTATGCCTCTACCTTATTCTATTGAGTTTTAAACATCTTTCTCAAGAGAATAATTACAAAGTACATATTAATCAATTAAAAAGGACAAAAATAAAATTCCTATAGAAGTTTAATATCTCTAAGGTGGGAGGAGGAGTAGGGATCAGATCACTATCCTCATCAGCCATGGAAGCGTATTATAAAGAATTGCTTTAAAATCCTTTTACAAGCCAAAGTGAACACAGTATTATACAAAAATAAAACTGTTGTGATAGATTAAAAGCATCACAAAAATACATTGAATAAAAGTCAGACACAAAGAATACTATTAGTCCCTTCATATAAGGTTCAGAAACAATAATGTACATTTATTTGATAAAACTATAATGAGAAGTTAGAAAGTAAAGACTAAAGTCAGGACAACAGTCTTTTACGATGGAAGGAACTGACTCTGCCTAGGAAGGGATAATAGCCGTGTCTGGATAATGTTACAGTTCTTGATTTTGGAAGGAATTTCATGAGAATTTGCTTTATAATACCTTAAAATGTATATTTTTAAAAATTCTGTGTGTATTTCTCTATGTGTGTTACATTTTACCATAAGAAACTAAGTAAGGAAGCATGGGGAACAGAAAAATACAATACAACCTTTGATTTACGAAAAGAAATTCATACAGAACAGAACTGGATTACAAACTTTTCTACAGAATAGATGACACATTGCTAAGAAAGTCAAATGTGGAGCCAAATGTTATATATATTACAGTTAACATACATCTAGACAGCCACTCACCTCTTCAGCAGTTTCATCTTCCTCTTCCTCATCTGGATGGTATTCTTCATCTGAGGAATCATCTTCTTCAAGGTGGATATCCACAAACTGAGGAGGCTACATAAGAACAAATACCAAAAAAAATGGATGAACAAGAAACACAAATCATACATTTGAAGTAAAAGAAGAAAAAGAAAAGGGCAGTGAGAAGGTTTCTAAGAGCAAAATAAATAGCTAGAAGCAAGTAGACATGAAGCTGGGACTAGATTCCTAGCAAGAGATGCAAACTTAAGACTGGTAAATACTAAAGCTGGAAATAAACCACAAATACCAGTTAAAAATAAAGTTAAGAAAGTAAAGGATGTACTCAAATTTCAAAATTGAGAGTTTTTCTGGAAAAGAGTAAAAATTACCTCTACCATGAGAAGTGAGAAGAGTAAAAATTAATGAATAGACAAATTGTGTTAAGGAGAAAGCAAGAGACAATACTGAGTTGAATAGACACTGTAATTAATTACTTATAATTAATATTATAAAATAAAATGTGTATAAAGAAAAAAACAACACCTTAGCTTAACTGAAATGTAAAAATGTTCTTCCCAGAAGTCCCCTAAATTGCCTTTTCACCACCAGTCTCTAAAATATCATTCCAGATTGGATCTGTTCTATCCTAACTTGCTTTCCCAGAATCCTACAGATTTGCCCGTTTTTCCAATTTTTTGTTGATCTCTGCTGATAATCTCCTTGAACTCTAAATTGTTGTTATTGTTGTTGATTGTCGTTGAGTCACTCACAACTCATAGCAACTCCATGAACAAAAGACCTGAGGCCTTTCTATAACTATCATTCCTCCAAGTTCATAGAGTTTCCAAAGGCATGTGGTTTAGGAAGTGGATGCCACTCCTGCTTCCCAACCTGTCTTAAAACTGGGAGCTCCACCAAACACTGTCCACAATGGGCAGCCATTATGGCATTTGAGATCCAACAGTACAAGGTTCAGCTTCACAGCAAACCCAGATTACCTCAGCACAGCAAACAGACAAAAGAGTGCTGTACAACTTAGAAGAACATTCCTCCACCAGTAAAGGATTAGTAGCAAAGGATTAAAAGAAAATCCCTCAGACCCAATTTATTAAATATAAGGGTCCTTCAGGAGGTTTTCTTGACTCTAAGTAAGGGGCTTTAAAAAATAAAAAAAACTATTAATTGCAGAAGTGTAAATAAGACTATAATCACATGCACTATAGACTAAGAGGAAAGAAAGAGATAATAAATGAACTTAGTATATGTAAAAAAAAAAAATTACCCCTACCAAATTTACCTTAATTTCATTGGCCTTCTTAATAGGTGAAATGTTCCACGTTGGAATTACCTACCAATAAGGAATATAAACAATTAAGTTCTTATTAGAAAGAGATTGTTTTTCATTTTACTTCTCCATCATCAAATAGCAGGAGTAATACTAGAAATATTGATTATCTTTGAGGGTTGTTGTTGTTCTTATGTGTCATTGAGTCGCTTGCAACTCATAGCAACCCTATGTACAACAGCCCTAAACTTTGCTCTGTCCTGTGCCAATCCCACTGTCTCTGATACACCCATCCCGATTACCCCAGTCAATGAATCCATCCACCTCATAGAGGGCCTTCCTCTCCTGCACTTCCCTCTACCCAACCAAGTATGGTGTCCCTCTCCAAGGACCTCCTTACAACATGTCCAAAGTATGTTGGACAAAGCTTCAGAATCCTTGCCTCCAAAGAACCACCTGGTTTTAACCCTCTCCCGGATGAATCTGTTTGTTCTCCTAGCAGTCCATGGTACCCTCAACACTCTTCTCCAGCACCACAGCTCAAAGGCATCAATTCTCCTTCTTTCCTCCTTAGGCACTATCCAACTGATGCATAACAAGTGATAGCAAAGACCATGGCCTGTATCAGACGCACCTTAGCCTCCAGAGAGACACCATTGCTCTTCAGTACTTAACAGAGGTCCCTCACAGCAGACTTTTCCATCGCAATACATCTTTTAATTTCCTGGCTACTGGTGCCAAGAGTGTTGACTGTGGAGCCAAGCAAACTAAAGCTGTGAACAATCTCAACCTCTTCGCCATCCATCCTGATGCTGCCAATTGGTCCAGTGGTGAGAATCTTTGTCTTCTTGACATTGAGCCTCAACCCATATTGAAGGCTGCAAGCGTTTCAGGTCCTCCTCAGTTTCAGCAAGCAGGGTTGTGTCAACTGCATCACACAGGTTGTTGATGAATCTTCCACCAATCCTGACCCACATTTCTCCTCATAGAGCCCAGCCTCCCGGATAACCTGTTCTGCATACAAGTTGAATAGGTATGGAGACAGGATACATCCCTGACATACGCCATTCCCAATTTTGAACCATGCGGTGTTTCCCTGCTCTGTTCTGACGACTGCCTCTTGGTCCAAGTATAGGTTTCACATTAGCATGATCAAACATCTGGAATTGCCATTCTTCTCAGAGTCAGCCACAGTTTGTTATGATCCACACAGTCAAACGCCTTTGCATAGTCAATGAAACATAGATATGCATTCCTCTGGTATTCCCTACTTTCAGCTAAGATCCATTTACAATTAGCTATAATATCCCTAGTACCATGACCCCTTCTAAACTCAGCCTGGACTTCTGGCAGTTCTCTGCTGATGTGCTGTTCCAGTCGGTTTTGGATATATTCAGTAGAATCTTGCTTGCATGTGAAATCAATGAGATTGTTCTATAGTTTCCACACTCTGTTGGGTCACCCTTTTTTGGGATGGGAACAAATATAGATCTCTGCCAGTCAGTTGGCCAAGTGGATGTTCTCCAGATTTCTTGGCCCAACTTCGTGAGCATATCTAGTGCAGCATCTGTTAGCTGAACTATGTCAATTCGTATACCATTTATTCCTGGGGCCTTATTTTTTGCTATTTCCTTTAAAGCAGCCTGAACTTCTTCCTTAATCACCATAGGCTCTTGCTCATATGTTGTTTCATGAAAATTCTTCTGTGTCTGCCAATTTCTTTTGATACAGTGACTCAGTATATTATAGCAACTCTCCTTGAGGGTATACTTAGAAATATTTGTCAAGTGGAGTAGGCTTGGGGGGAGGGACTGCATAACAATGAAAGTTTTTCCTTTTACTTTTCAAGAAGAGTGAGTTGAGGGGGAGGGGATGGGCAGGAAGAAAAGTGCAACAATGAATGAGTGGAAACCATAAGTCTCTGTAAACGTTCATAAAAATTAATTTATAAAAAGAGAAATATTTGTCAAAGTATTAAAGAGTAAGAAAGAACAAATATTAGAAAAGACTATTATTATAGAAGTAGAAGGATATAACTAAAAAATAAGTAGAACAATAACTAGTAAAACATGTATGGGAGTCTAAAGGAGGAAAAGGTAGGTACAGAAGGGTGAAGGTAGGTGAGAGAAATCACAGGATTATTAAATCTGGTAGGTGGAGGGAGGAGGTAAAGGAAACAGGAAAGATCCGGTGGGGACCTGAAAAGACAGAGTAATGGTAGGAATAATTTAATAGGGATTACTTTTATAAAACACAATGTGAATGAAGGAAAGTGTGAAACACAGTAAGTATGAGTTTCGTATGCAAACAAATACAAAAGAAATTTTTTTAAAAAAATTAGGGATCATGGAGTTGGTTACTAGAGGAGGTACAATTTAGAAAAGGCAGGTGAGAATAGCTGTACAACTCAAAGAAAGTCGCCAGTGTTACTAATTTCAGGCGCAGGAGGTTTTGAACTGGTATACATATTTCCACAAAAATAAATTCTTTTTAAAAAAAGGAAATGAGAGAATAATCTATTTCTGTAGTTGGCTTATTCTACCTCAAATCTACAAAGACACTGCTTTGTATTCTATAAAAAAGAGAAACAAAGTCTGCACTGCCTACTTTATAGTCATCTCTCAGTTCTCATGGAATAATGAATGAGACCTATCTGTAGTCATTATACAAACTTAAGATGTTATAGGTTATAACAGCCTTTCACATCAGAGCATATATACATGTTGTTGTTATGTGCTGTCGAGTCGCTTGCGACTCATAGTGACCCTATGTACAACAGCTCTAAACTCTGCTCTGTCCTGTGCCAATCT